AGTCTTTCATTCATGAGACCAGAAGTCTCATGACCAGTCTCATGACCAGACCAGAAGACTCCATGGTCTTCATGTCTCAAGGACCCTGAATATTCGCAGGGGGATTCTTATGGCAATGGAGATGGTGAGGCCATCAGTTCTAGAAAATGATGCTTACCTGTTGATAAATGGTGGTGCTAAGGAGGCTGTGTCTTGACTTTGGTCCCCATTTCCATGAGCCATTTGCTATGGGTAGGTTCCACTGATATGGACACAATGCTATCATAGAATCATGAACAGCGCCATCATGGAGGACCAGGATAGACAGTGTGGATTTATTGGTTTCCATCTTTTCTTACTGCTGGATAATGTGCTCATGCCTCCCTCTATGCAGTCAGCTTCTCGTGGAAGAGGATTGATATTTTCCTTCAGGCCAGAAACACGGTAGACTCTATTCCATCTCTTACGTGCCCTGGGCATTGAGTTCCACGTGAAGGTCCATCACCAGCTTTGGAAGCTCAAATTCATGACCCCTGAGACTGAAACTGTCCAGACTGCCCAACCTCTCCTGAAGAGGCCACTCATTCAGAGCTCAATCACTTGTTCACCTCTGGAAAGGAAGAGAACCATCAGGAAGACTTATCGACAGAGTGATTATGCTCTCACTAATCATGGCATATGCTTATGCTGCCACACAATTAAGTAGGTATGAAGGAATTCATCAGCATATCTTAGCAAGGTGAGACATTTCCTTGTGCAACATAGAAAGTACGTGAAGACCAGTGGCTTTTAGATAAAAGGGGGAGTTTTTCAGATAGAGCTCAACTGAGAGGTTGTTTTCTGCCTGCCAAACCTCGAGCCACAAAACCTCACCCACTTTGGTGGCAGAAAGGGAAGAAGTCATTCCCCAGGTTTAAAAGGCATATCTGCAGGAAAATGCCACTTTCTGTACTTGAAGAGATTGCCCTGATCTGGGAAGATGCTACAAGGGACCAAGTAGACAGACCTGTGCAAATGTAACTAGAAACTGATACATTCAAATCTGAACTTGTGCTGTTACAGAGCGTGAGACTTGTCCACACATAGCGTATCTATCTCTATCTCTATATCTACATAAAATTGGGATCACAGAAGAAAAGATGAGGTCACCAAACCAGACCCTAATTCCCATTTGTACTAATAACCACAAAATAATGCTATAACATAACAATAATCCCTTACATCTGTGTAGGTCCCTGTAAAGTACACCATCGGCTTTTTCATTTAATCCTTTGTTGGCTCCATCATTTGCAGAGCTGCAGGCCATTCCGTGGCCATTGAGACCCCTTCCTCTCACTCCGGCCCAGCCCTCCATTTCTTCCCGTGGAAGGTCAGTCTTTCATTCATGAGACCAGAAGTCTCATGACCAGTCTCATGACCAGACCAGAAGACTCCATGGTCTTCATGTCTCAAGGACCCTGAATATTCAGGCTGCAAGAAGGGCACAGACCCTGCTGTGGCCAATTTCAACTACAGGCCTCGCCGACACCTCCATGCACAGAGACTGAATTCACACCAACACTTCACTGCAGCTTCTCATAACAGTCCTAATTTTAACAGAATGGCATATTTATGTTTACAGTGAATGTTGCATACTTGTTTATGCCGTTCAATTGTGCATGCTGTCTCAATGTCTTGATATCTAACATGGGAGAAAGTACAACAATAGAAAGATGGGGCAGAGTGAAGCATCAATTTGATAAGCCAAGCCAAAGGCCATAAAAGAGACAGTACCTACCTATCCCATGTGTGGAGGACCAAGGACACACATTGAGGTCAGGGTTACAGAGCTTGATGGCCACAGAGGCAACATGGAAGATAAGCAAGTTGGAAACAAGCAAGGATGGTGACAGAGAAGTCTAAAGGGATTCCAAGAGAGTCTAAAGGCTGTCAGATTTTTGTGCTTCTCCTTTAAAATATGGTAGGCCCAAAAATCAGAGTTTAAGTTGGATGGTCTTGAGGTCCAGGAGCTCAACAGAAATTTTATCCCTTCTATCATCTTTAACAAATTCTGAGTTCAAATGGCCCTTTCAGGTGTTGTTAAGAGGATCCAAAGTGGCTGGGCCTATGCAGCATTTGTTCTTGAAATACTGATGTCTCCAGAAGATGGGAAAACCAAGAAGGCAGCCTCCTCCCACTCCTGATGGCCCTGAGCTGAGGAAGTGGCACCTGTGAGCTCCTCCAAGGAGGAAGTTGTTCTCTGATGAAGCAGTCATTCCTTTGCATACAGGTGTTTCACCAGCCCCTAGACAGACAGGCACAATATACAAGAAAAGATAGGCAGGACAGAGGCTGGAATATTAGCTGCTGGCTGGACTAGCAGGTGAATTAGGCTGCAGACCTGGGCTTGGGATTAAGAGAAAAAGAAGAAGACTTTTGGAGACTGTATCTGCACTGTTTCCACTATTATTTAATACTGGTGGTTTTAGCCAATGCAATCACAGAGGAGAAAACAGAGGCATAAGAACTGGGAAAGGAGATCTACAATTTGGCAGATGACATAATATTATGAAAACTCAAGGAAATCCAGAAGAACACACATACAATTAAAGCATTCAGTATGGCTGTCACGATAACATTAACATACAAAAATAATCCATAAGCAATCAATGACCAAGTAGGAGACATAATGGGAAACTCCATTCATAAAAGCAACAAAATCATAAAAATATTTAGGAATAAACTTAACAAGAAATGTGAAAAACCCATAAGGTAAAAGCCAAAAACTCTCTTCAGACACATAAACACAGACTTGCAAAAAAAATTCACCTTTCCAGGAAGGACTGCTTAACATCATAAAGAAGTCAATCGTCTTGAGCCTCATACATGAACGTAATGCAACCCCAACAAAAATACAAAGGTGTTTTTTCCATGGGTAGATTCTGGAGTTGGTTCTGAAGTTCATATGGAAACACAAATGTGCAAGAATAGCTAGAAGAGAATAGCAAGAACGTGTCCCTGAATAGAAAGCACAGTGGGAGTGCGCCAGATAGTGGAGCGAACCATGAAGCACGCACGAGTAAGAGCATGGTACTAACACATGAATATTCACAAATACCATGGAAAATAATATAAAGTCTAGGAATAGTCCAAGTACACATGGAAATTTAGAACACAATAAAGATTGCAAATAAAACTGGGGAAAATAATATTTTCAATAATGATACTGAAATAGATTGCCATTTGGGAAAAAGACAAAATTGCATCCTACACACCACAATAAATATTAAATGGATCAGAGATCCAAATAAAAAATAAAGCCTTACAAGAACTAGAAAAATATATATATATGTACGTATATAAACATTTTTTAATTTTATGGAAATTATATATATATAATTTTAATTAAATATATATTTTAAAAGGAATATGGGAAGATAAAGCAGAGACTCTTGAAAACAGTTACCTCCATGCAGTGGGTGGGGACAGGATAGAGTAGACAGGTATGGGAGTGAGACTTCTCTGAGTTTGCCTGTTTACATATTTTTTTTTTTAAAGATTTTATTTATTTATTTGAGAGAAAGAATGAGAGAGAGCACATGAGAGGGGTGAGGGTCAGAGGGAGAAGCAGACTCCCTGCTGAGCAGGGAGCCCGATGCGGGACTCGATCCAGGGACTCCAGGATCATGACCCGAGCCGAAGGCAGTTGCCCAACCAACTGAGCCACCCAGGCGCCCTGTTTACATATTTTTTATCTTTGAACCATATACATGTTTTACAAACTCAAGAAAATAGAATTAAAGTAAAAGAAATAAGAAAGGAAACATTAAAATAGCATACACATGGAAACAAACCCTATATCAAATTGATAGCATAACCACACAGAGAAAATAATTAGTTCAATTGGAATATAATACTTGATACACACAGAGGGCTAAATTCTAAGAAGAAAAAGAACTGCAAAGAAATCTTCAAGTTACTAAGCAGGTTTGTAGTTGTAGAGTGCTGTGATTGTGGCAGTATTGTGGGTACTACTAGAGGATAGAGCAAAAGGGTAAAAATATTTATATGGAACAGGGTTTTCACTTTGGAGGAAGCAAAACAGAAATACCCAGTGGGGGAAGCTTAAGTAGAACCTTATGGTATTGAGTTTGTGATTTATTTATTTATTTATTTATTTATTTATTTTTTAAAGATTTTATTCATTTATTTGAGAGAGAATGAGCTAGAGAGAGCATGAGAGGGGGGAGGGTCAGCCCTGCTGAGCAGGGAGCCCGATGCGGCACTCGATCCTGGGACTCCAGGATCATGACCTGAGCCGAAGGCAGTCGCTTAACCAACTGAGCCACCCAGGCGCCCAAGTTTGTGGTTTAAATACACATTTCCTGACTCTGCCCACTGAGAGGGCCTAGAAGCAATGATGTCTCAGAAGCCATGAGCACACATTGTGCCCACATCTTGGCTTCTAAAAGCTATTCCACATAAAAAAAGAAAAAAGAAAAACCAGGGATCTAAAGGGTACATGGGTGATTCCAGGTATGAGCAGGGATAGTACAAGGTGAGCCTGGGATACTGTGCTGTGTGGGGAAAAAAAAAACAAAAAAACCCCCAGAAATCTAGGAAATGCTCAAAAGCTACCAAGAAGTGGGCGCCTGGGTGGCTCAGTTGGTTAAGCGACTGCCTTCGGCTCGGGTCATGATCCTGGAGTCCCGGGATCAAGTTCCTCATCGGGCTCCCTGCTCAGCGGGGAGTCTGCTGGTCCCTCTGACCCTCCTCCCTCTCATGTGCTCTCTCTCTCTCTCAAATAAATAAATAAATAAAATCTTTAGGAAAAAAAAAAAGCTACCAAGAAGTGACTGGTACTGGACAAACTGGGGACAATTTGAGCATCACAAAGATCCATGATGGCAATGAATTATATAATATGTTGAAGTCCACAGTAATGATATTCAACAAATAAGAAAGAAAAGGGGGAAGGAAAAGGTCTTTTTATCCAGAAGAATACCAGCTATTAAATGCAGAAGGGATGCTAGAGTTAGAAATTCAGTGTTTTGTAACCCCCCCAATGCAATAACTGAATCAAACATGGATCATGAACAGATATAAAATCATTGGGTGAAGAATCACTGGGGAGTCAGGATGTTCACGTGGTCTCAAAGTATCACCCTTCAGATTACTGACTAATTACAAAGAGGAAAATTTGTCTCCCTGACACAGAGATCTAGCAGTCACTTCTTTATTCAAGTGATCAAAGGCAGGGACACCTGGGTGGCTCAGTCGGTTAAGCATCTGCTTTCGGCTCAGGTCATGATCTCAGGGTCCTGGGATGGAGCCCCGCCTCGGGCTTCTTGCTCAGCGGGGAGCCTGCTTCTTCTCTGCCTGCCGCTCTCCCTGCTTGTGCTCACTCTCTCTTTCTGACAAATAAATAAAATTTTTTTAAAAAGTGATCAAAGGCAGCATCACCCACAGTGACAGAGCCTGGCGTCATGCACTTCCTGACACAGTACAGTGTCAGACACGCAGTGTCACCTCCGTGGTGTTCTTGACAAAAGTCTCAATCGGCATCTACTCAGGAGGAAACAATCAGACCAGTCCTGAAGACGGGACATCATACAAAAGTACTTCAAAATTGATAATGCCGCAGGGAAAGAAAGCAGAGAAGTTGTCCAACACAAAAAGAGACGAAACAGAGACAAAAATCAAATACCATGGATCTGGGTTTGGAAGACTGAAGCTATAAAGATACTTTTGAAACAATCAGAGAGATTTGAATATGGGCTGTGTAATAAATGACATTCCTGAAATATTGGTCATTTTCTTAGGTGTGGTCATCATATAGTGATTATGCAGGAGACACTTGGTTACATAATTAGGGGTGAAATATCTCTACTAACTTAGGGGTGATATTCCTACTAATTTTTAAGTAGATCAGAAAAAACTGCATGTATACAGAATAAAGCAAATGGAGGGAAATATTAACTTGGGAATCTAGGTGAAAGATGTGTATGTTTTTCTTGCACTGTTCTTTCAACTCTGGTGGATTTGAAGAGTTTTCAAAAAGAAGGAAGGTGAGAGCACGTGGGCAATGCATGAGGCGCAGGCAAGTGGGCCTAGGGAGCATGACCCGTGACCAATCCCGCACGCTCAGACCTCGTCCACTGCGAGACCCGAAAGCAACAGGGGAAACAGACACTTCAGCCAAATCGATAGCTTGAGGATGCAAAGTTTTGGAATTTTTTTTTGTAGTCACGTGGACTAAGTTGGAGAGTTCATGGTTTGATTGACCTTTAGGGAGAAATTTGACAAAAGAAGAAAGTTAACTATCCTGTTTCTAAAATCCCATTTTCTCAGCTCTAATCAGGCAAAGGTCCCACGGCTTCATTTTAAATCATCCTGAAGTACCACTAAATTAAGACTTTCTGGAGGGAAAAAAAAAAGAAAGAAAGAAGAAGAAGATGTGGACTCCTGGTGTCCCAGCCAAGGCACGAGGAGTCGTGGCTCGTGGTTAGCAATCCCCTCCCGTCCTGCATGGTGGCCGCCTGGGGACAGCCACCGCCTTTCTCCCTTTCAGAACCAGTGATCGCTCTCACAACTCACCTTTTGGAGAAACTGAGGTTTGACCTGCAAAACAGGAGAATCGGATGTTCATTAAATCATTCCTACGTGACAAAAAGCACATGCGAGGTTTTGCTCCAGGAGAATGGCTTGCCTGTCCTTAAATTTTCCTTTCGGGTCTAACTTCTTCCTGACTCAGCCTGACTCCATCTAGTGTTACTTTTGGAAACTTGAAGTGTGCCTCCCTTCTCTTCAACAATCCCTGTTTGCGGAGGAGCTCTGGTGTGATCTGTGCCAAGAACAGCTCCCCGCATGTGGTGGGGGGCTAAATGCAGGGGGGGGGTGTGGGCAGGAGGGCTCTCACCCAGCTGCCCCCCGCACCCCTGCCCTGCATCTCTCCCTTCCCTCCCTCCAGCCACCTGCACCCTGCCCGTGTTCCCTTTCTGGGACTTCACTTTCCCACCATGGTCTTCTGTGAGTGACCTGCGCAGCCACCCCATCCGGATGGACGATGGAAATTGCCTTCTCTGGTTCTGATGTTTCAAAAGAATTCAGAACTTCCAAACGCACACAAAATCGGGACGTGTTCTGACATGCTTATACATGGGAACATAAATCCGCAGCGACCGTTGCTTCAACAATGCTTTTAAAGTGGTCGGTTGTATTGCACACAGCGGCATCTCCACCCGCGCACACACACACACACACACACACACGTGTGTCAGTCACTTGCGACAAACCATCACAGCCTCTCCGTCCCCCCCACCCCCCAAAACACATGCACGGGATTGGAAATTAGGATTTGGGAACGCTTCCTTTTCTTTGAATTCCATGACTAAGATAGCCCTGACACAGTGTCTGCAGAGACTTCTGGGGGGCACTGGAGTTTCCAAGGCAAAGTACCCTAACTCCAAGTGCCCTTCCATGTGTGGGGGTGGTTTGGCCAAGGGAGCATGCCCAGCCCACGCCCAGGTGGTGAGATCACTACGACCACTGATTGGTGACAGACGGCCACAGCCTGCCGCAAAAGTCTGTAGCCACCCAGCAGAGGGCCCCGGAGGCCATGCGGTGGGTAGAGTCCACCATCACAGACATCCCCCATCTACGCAGAACTGACTCCCATCTTGTACTGCCCACCACAGAGACCAGTTGGACCCCCAAAAGGCAATGCAGGCTCTAGGTCTGGGGTTCATCTATTCATGTCCAGGTCCCCTCTTCCTGCACATCAGGAGTTAATCCTTCTCATCCTACCAGACTCAGTCCATGGCCTCCCATAGCCCCGTCTGCCCAAAGCCCTGTTTGAACCCCTGATGAAGGTCAGGCTGCCTAGATTCTATAGTGGGAGAGCCTGAGTCAGTGCCCAGCCCAGAGCAGTAGGAGGGCTGCCCCTGGGTGTCCTCCTGGCAAGGGGACCCAGCTGCAGCCTCAGTGGAACCTAGCGCCATGCCAATGCCCCAAGGGCTGCCAGGAGACAGAGCTCCCCGGGCGAGAAGGCCCCGCAGGGCTGGGAAAGAGAGGGCCAGTAGGAGCCAGCAACTTGGAATTCGACTTTCCCCTGTAAGTGGTCTCATGGATTTGGTGGCACTTGAGAGCTGTTTAGCATGTTTAGCATGTTTCTTCTATAAAGACGAATGGGACAACTTAGCCAGTGTGGGTGACACATGGTGTTGTGGTCCCCCGCCTGTAAATGCCCCCAATTCCATGACACGTTTCCAAAAGCTCCCTGGGACGGGTCACCCAACCCTCCCCTGCACGAGAACCCCAGGTACAGAGGAGGTGACATTGCCAGCAAGAGGAGAACTGTGTGGCCACAGAGGGGCCTGGAGAGCACTGTCTCATGACCCCACTAACCCCAGGCTGGCCGCATGCTCCAGTTTTCCTAGAACTATCCAGGTTTACACCTAGATCCTAACACGGTTATTAGCAATGCCTCTTCACTCTCCCAAAGTCCTGGTTTGGATGATAAGGAAAATGGTCACACTCCTCTCCCGCCCCCCAACCCTGTCCAAGCCCTTTGTGGGGGGGCCAAACAGCGTGGGCTGGGTGGGGATTGGGGAGGATGGAACAGAGAGAGACAGTGAGAGTCAGAGAAGAAGAGGGGCAATGCTTGCAGGCAGAGCTGATGAAACACTCTTCAGTAAGGGCCCGGAAACCAGAATATCTGAAGGAGGGGAGATCCTCAGGAAAGTGAACTTCTCAAGAAAATCTGTTTCCAGTTCAGCCCCAGGCCATCACCCTGACAACAGCGTGCCACACATCCGTCTCTCTCTTCCCTCTCACATCCACCCCTCCTCCCATACACACGCCTTAGCACTTACTGAGCGCCAGGCTCTGGGGAAGAACCGGAGGGGAGCCCAGGTCCCCTCTAAAACCCACCACCCCACCCAGCCCAGACCTCTGTCTGCATGCCAGCCCTTCTTGAGCACCCCCTCTACAGGAAGTCTCCAGAAGCCTCAGGTTCACTGTGTTTAAAAAAGGAGTCCCCATCTCAGCCCCCAAGTCCATTGCCCAAACCTGTTCCACCACCTACTTCCCAAGGGCACCACCCCCCTGGGGCCTCTCCACCCCCACAAACTCTGTACTGTTCTGGATTCTTCCGTCTTGGTGGCTGCACCTTCGCTCAGTGCCCACCGCCTCAGTATCGCTCCGATCCTTGCCCAGCAGGGCTTTGCAGCAGGTCTGAAGCCCTCAAAGGGCTTCCCAGCAGGTGTCTCTGTCCCCAGCGCCCTCCCCGCCCCCCCCCATGCCACTACAGCGGAAACGCTCTTCCATCCCTCTCCTGCCTAGAATCCATCAGGGATTGAGCAGAAGTTTCAGGATAGGGTGCAGACTCCTTCACTTAGCATGTAAGACCCTGAGTGAAACCACCCCTCTCTCCAACCTTTTCTGCAGATCTTCGTGTGAAGCATTGGCTCCTGTCACACGGAACATTTGTTCCCTGGGTGTGCACACTGACACACCTCGGCGTGCCTTCTGCCTGTGTACACTTCTCTTGCTTCCCCCAGGGAAACTTCTTCTCATCCCTCCGTATGCAATCCCAGGGCTGCCTGCACCCCTAGACGTCCTGCTTCCCAGCTGGACCCCTCTGCATCCCCCAGGCACAAGGCAACGTATACTTAGCTGTGTCACAACACCCCCCTGCCCCAACACCCTGCAACGAGCACCCAGGATGTGCCTGTGTCCCCTGCAGATGGAAAGGGAGCCTGTCTTCCCTTATTCCTCAGCACCTAGCCCATGCCTGAACGCCCATTCATTCATTCATTCAACACATATACAAGTACCCGCTCTGTTCCAGGCATGGTGCTAAATGCCAGAGCCACAAAGATGAAGAGAAAGACCCCACCCTCAAGAACCTTACACTTCAGGGGGAAAACCATCAAAAGAAATAGATGAAGAAATATATCACATAATGTCAGTGAAGGGAAAGTAATATGAAGAAAAATAAAGGTAGGTGAGGGCAAGATAATGATCAGGGGAAGGGGTTTCTATTTTAAACAGGCCATCCAAAATGAAATGGTGGCCTTGAAGCAGAGATACGAAGGAAATGAAGGGCAAAGTTTACAGGTATCTGGGAGAAGAGCATTCCATGTAACAGAAAACAGCAAGTGCAAAGGTCCTGAGGCAGGGCTGTCCTCAGAGGACATACAGTCTCTGTGCAGAAGAGCAGTGTGGCTCATGGCAGCAGGGAAGCCAAGTAACCTGGAGCAGGCCATATGGGCTTCCCAAGTAGGTCATGGCAAGGGCTAGGGACCTCATTCTGAGTTCTGGGGGGAATGTACTGAGGGGTTCTGTGTGGGAGGTGGGGCAGAATGTAACTGAGAGTACGCAGAGGCAAGCTCAAGCCCCCTTTGGCTACTGTACCTTGTGGCCCTGCACTCTCATGACTTCTGCCCACTGAAGCAAAGAAGGGAAAAGGGGGCATGGGGTGCAGTCTAGTCTCCTAGGAAGCATTTTGGAGTGGAGAGAAGAGCTAGGATGACAGGCAAAGAAGCACAATGAATAAAACAGGAGGGAAAATGATACCCCGCACTTACCACGATAGTGCCCTTACCTTGGGACTCTCTTCTTTAGTGTGATGGTGTCTAAAGAGAGAAAGCAGGGCATTAGGAAGGGGACACTGTGATCAGTGGCACGGCTCACTCAGTGTCAGGCAAGCAGGAGCGAGGCAGAGCCAAGCTGACTCGGGCAGCTCCGAAAGGCTCCCTGGGTTGGGGCCGCTGAGAATGGTGGTCTTGGGCTGAGTGCTCTTCATCCTTCTCCTTTGGCTCTGTTGGAGCTTCTCTATCCAGGTCCCATCACTGAGCCCCCCTTAGCTGGGCACTTAACTGAACCTTCCCTGGAGCCTTCCTACCCCCATCACTCCTCATCACCCCCTTCGCTTGCTGCTCCCGGACCCTCTTGGTCTAAAGGGATCTAGCACATCTCCCACTATGTGATGAAGAGGCTGTTTCTTCTCCCTTCCTAATCATAGGGATACAAAAATAATGGCAAATAAACACCTATGACCAGTTAAACCCCTCGTGCAGTGGAGCATGCTGGCATCCCAGGAAGCCCTGGAGGGCTGTGGTTCCTCCCCCAGCCCAGACTCCCCCTTCTGCATATCTTCGCGGACAATAATCACATTTTCCAGAGACACAGTGAGGCTTCTTCCTCCTCATCCTCTGGAAAATGTCCTGGAAAACTGCATGATGATCCCATTAAGCAGGCTGACAGGACTGGGAATGATTTTTGCAAGTCCCATCTTGAGAGAAAGGGGATGCGAATCAGTGCTGTATTTTGCTATCAAAACTCACAAACTGACTGCTGGGTCTGTGGGTTGAGTTTCCCGGCAGGTGCCACAAGGACACTGAGAACCACGCCAGGGTTCACATCAGCCCAGCCCTGTTTGGACCAAGAGGACACAGCACGGCTCCGAGTAGGACCTGCCCAGTTTATGGAAAAAAAAAAAACTCAGCAGCACGTCCGCCACCCTCCCAGCCTCATCACCTCCTGGGATCCATTTTATCTGGTCACATTTTTGGATACGGAAATAGACATTTCTGTCCGAAGCCTGCTCACCTCCATTCCCCCACCCTTTCTCCAAGAAATCTGATTCTTAGAAATCGAAAAGTAGAGAGAGAGAGACAAGTGGGGAAGGGGAGAGATGGACAGAGATACAGAGAGGTCACTGCGTTTCTTTTCAACCCAGTCTGTCAGTCTTTCTCTAGCCAAGTTTTGGAGGGGCTCCCGGGGCCTCAGGCTGCCGGGACCGATCCTGGTCTGGGCGGGGCAGATCCGGGCCGGAGGTCGCTGCTCCCTTACCGTTGAAGCCTGGGTTTGTGCTTCTCAAGTCTGAGGAGTTGATATCAAACAAATGTTTCCTGATCATGCAGATCTTCAAGACCAGGAAGATAGCCGATATGGCGACGCCCAGAGCCATCCCGATGATGGCGTACTTGATGTCTGCAGGGCAGGGAGGAATTGACCAATGGGTATCCATCAGGCACCAGCCTGCAAAGGTCTTTCATCTACAGCTCCCTTCACATTCGGGGTGAAGTCCAAAGTCACCCGAAAACTCCACATTCCAATTGGCTGAAGCCCAGGGCCACATCCTCCCCCCGCCCCTCACCCACCCCCCATCCCCTCCTCCTGGAACCCCATCAGGCTCTCTTCAGCCGTGGGAGTCATTCCCCAGCAGCTGATGGCTCCCTTCTCCGGCCTCCCCTAGCCCTACCTCACTTGCCTTTGCGTTAATTCATTTATCGAGCACGTGTTAATTGGCTGCCTACTCTGTGGTGAGCATGGAAGGCAAAGGAAAAGATGTGACTCCGTCTTGAGAGGCCTGCAGTCAGCGGGGGTGGATGGGAACTCGCCCTAACGCCAGGGTAACGGGCTGGCCTGGGCTGGCGTGGAAGCCGAGAGCCTTCCCGGAGGAAAAGGGGTGAAGATTCTAGATCACAGTCTGCAGACCGCACCGTGCCTGCTGAGGGGAGACCCTGAGGTGGAGAGGAGCTGGGACCGTGCAGGTGGAGGGAGGAGGGGGAGGCATGGCAGAGTGCAGGGCGCTGTGGGGGCTGGAGCCGCTCATCCTACAGAGAGCAGATAAGGGCGGCCCTGGTGACTCCCGTGCCCTTTGGAGACAGGCTCTCAAGCAGGTCCCTGCCCCTGGAGTAAAACTGTGTTAGCTCCTCGGGCAAATGTGCAAGTGAGTGCTGCCCCTGTTCGGTGAAGACTGGCAGGAAACCAGCCACGCTCCCAGCACACCCCACCCCTGCCCCTCCCGCCCCCTCAGCCCTGCACAAAGAGGAAGCTGGGCAGCCACCTACCGATTTCGGCCCCAGCAGACTTGCCCGTTGCTAACACTGGAGCTCCTCCAACATCTGCAAAGAAAGAAAACCCAGAGTCTGGTTAGAACCAAACTGGTGGCCATGATCAGACCAGGGGTGGAGGGCCAAAGCCCTGTCCCCAACCACTGTGTCCCACAGGTCCGGAAAGGCCTGGCACAGGTACCTCTGCTGCTTGGCGTCCGGCCTCAGGAACACAGAGGGGGGCTGCTGGTTGCCATGGAGCGTCCTGGAGCCTGGCAGGGACGTCAGCGCCCTCCTCCCACCCCATGCCGGGAGCACGGTTCCGTTGAGCTCCGTTCAGCCGGCTCTTCCACATGGTCTCCCAGACCCACACTCTGACCCCTGCCTGCTTCTTTAGCCCCGTCTGTCATTCCCACGAAGCCTCTCATCCCAGCCAGACCACACTGCTTCTAGTTCCCCACCCAGGCTGGGGGCTCTGCTGCCTCTGGGCCCTTCCCTCTGCCCAGCCCCATCTTCTCGCCTCTCCTCCTTCCCCTCGTCTCGGTTCCCATGTTGCTTCCTCCTGAGCCCCCATGCCTGGCTCAGCTGTGTGCTCCACGGGGGCTGTTCTCAGCCACCGTAAGTGACCACACCGTTTATTTAACGATGTTACGGAGCACTGCTGTGTGCCAGGCACCCTCCGTCCTAAGAGCTTCTCAGCTACGAATCCACTGGCTGCACCTTCTTGCCAGTCGCCCCTCTGTGCTGTCTGTGCCCTGTGGAATGTTCTACCCCAGCACTTGACACAGCATCTGGCACTAAGGAGGAATTAACAGACGTTTGCTGAATGAATGGTGGTGACAGATCACACTGCAGAGATGTCTCATGCTTCCGGCCAGAGCTTGAAAGCTTCCATCAGGAGACAGGGCTCAGGCTGGGGCCACGGTCCCTGCAGACCAGCCCTCAAAGACCCACAGCAGAGTTGTAGGCCTTGCAGGGGAAGGCGTCCAGTAATTGGCCACTTACTTCGAGGCGAAACCAGGTGAGGCACTTGCAGGAATGCACGTAGTACTCGCAGCAACATCACTGGGAGCTAGGTGCGATTATCTCTGTGTGAGGAATGAGGAACCAGAGGCACTGAAGACTTGATAATGGGCCCAAAGTCCAAGGGAAGTGGAACGTGGCAGGGCCAGGGTCTGAGCCATGACACTTGCACTGGGAGCCTGTGACGCCCTGCAAACTCGAATCCCAGGGAGCTAACGGAATGATGCCACAAACCACAAGGTCAAGGGCTGGAGGGGCTTGGGCTGGGGTGGGCGGATGATGAGACCCAAGCCTGGTTCTAGGTACAAGCTTCCAGGCAAAGGCAGAAGCAAGAAGTGCCATGACCCCTGCTTCTCAAAGGAAGCAGATGACTTCATTGGGAGAGGCCGAATCTTCCCCAGCTTAGCTCCAAGAGAAGTTCGCCTCCCAATTCCCTACCTATCGGAGCTTGAATGATGGCCGAGGGCCATGTCTGCTGACTACAGACAATGCTGTCTGGGGTGACGTGTTGGGTCGACACTCTACAGAGGACATCTTGCTCTGCATGTGTTTGATGGGGAAGGGATCATCATAATGGACTTTGGGATTTTTCTGGTGGCTTCACTTAGTCGATGGATAAAGCTGGGGAGTTATGCAGCAAAAGCACACAACCTTGTTCTAATCACAAGTCCTCTTAGAAATTCAATGATTTCTGTCTTTCTATCCACTCACACAGACACCCCCACATACAATATGACCTTGGTCTTGTGGGTTCTCCCAAGCCCCTGCTGAGCTCCATTGTTTCTTCACATTCTTTACATTAAACCTGCTGCTCCAGCTAGGTTGAAAACCACTCCAGGGATGGGACAAAATCTTCTGTTTTGCACATGGTTGGTCTGGGCTGTTATGAGTAGCTGGGCTAGGAGCTGACTTCCAGACTGATGCCCAAAATTCAGAGCTTCATATGCCCTGTGCTCACCCTGGCTCCTTTCCTGACACCAGTCTGGCCCGTCTCTGCCATTACTGGGCAGCAGGCTGGGGACAGGGCAGGGCAGAGCATCAGCAAGTGGGGCCAGGCACACAGATGGACAGTCTCTCCCCTGGCCCCTTCATACACAAACATCTTTCCTGTGTCTTCTGCTGGTGACCCTCACTCTCCATGTGATGCACTGTGATGCATGCACTGTAAAAACTTTACATGAGCCCGAGATGAAACTTAAATGGAGAAAGAAGAAAGAACACAGGTAAGGAAAAGCGAGATGGAAAATGTCAGAGAGCCAGAGAGAAAGAAACACAAAGAGACTTGGTCACACAGGGATGAATGGAGGCTGGGCCATAGGAGCTCAGACCTCTGGCGGCAGGGCTGAGAAGGAAAGAGGAGAAAGAACATTGTCAAAAACCTGCCAGGTCCTGCCCTCCCTGACAGCACCGGGTCCCAGTGCTCAGCAGGCAGCCCAGCCTCCTTCATCTGCCTGGCCCACCAGTGACACTGTCCTCAAACTTAGCTCTTTCTGCACCCCCTGTCAGGGACTCCATGGCTGGGGTTCAGCTCAGCCCTCACTCCTCACCCCAACCCGCACTGAGACACCACTCTCCACGTTCCATTTTGTATTGGCCCCAAGCCCTGAGGCGGCCCCTAGTCCCTGGCCCCAAACAGGCTCTCGGGGCTTCAGGCTCCCCTACCACGTCTGGGGTCAGGGACTGAGTGAGTGCCCTTCCAGCTGCAGGCAGACAAAACGGGGCCGTGGACACATCGGTCCCAGTAATTCCTGCTAGCCGGCCAGATGGCCACTCGGCGGCAGCCTTTCCCCTCCTTGGGGAGGGAACTCCCTCCTTGCAGCCTTCCCCCTGCACTCCGCGTCTCTGCCCTGCGCTCTAACAAGGCCCCGGGTGAGGATCCATCATAAGCACACGAGCCCAGCCAACGCTACCCCCGCCTCCTGCCAGGGTCTTGAACGGGAGAAGTCCCTCCTGGGCCACAGACCCCCTTCGAGGCCCTAGGGCTCATTTCCCCTGGTTCTGCAAACTAGCTGGAGGATGGATAGCCCAGCAGCACAGCCAGGAGCACGCTCCTGCATTCAGATCTGTGAGAGCCCCAGGAGCAAGTCGCAGGGCACGTTCTTTGCTGGAATTCTCTGGGTTCTCTTTGCAAACAGGAGGAGGAAGCTTGGCATCCAGAGGACAGACTCTGCAACCCAGGGGAGAGTCCAGGGGGGCCGGGCAGGGGCTGGCTGTACCAAGGCTCGTCTCCCTGGGGGGCAGGGAGGGACTGTGCGGACTGGTTCATCAGGCAGTAGCAGGCGCAGGGCTGGCCAACTCCGACTTGGCCGTCGGCACTCCTCAGGCTGAACCAGGCACGGGGGACAGGAGCAGAGACCTCAGAGCCCAGCCCTGGCTGCTACCTAGTGCGGAGAGCTGCCTCAAGATGGGTCTCCACCCTCAGTCTCCCTGTGTGCCCAGGAGCTCCCACCAAGTCACACACCTGCGGCTACACCTGCCGAGGGATGGTGCCTTTCCCTCAGGTGCACAAAGGCACTTATGGCTCTGAGTCTAGAGTCCCTGCTTCCTCTTCATGCCCCCTTTGAACATGCTGCTGCCCAAGGACGCTATTCCACCCCTCCCTGCCGAAATAGCCAGTCTCCAGCCCTCCTCTCTGCAGCCCCTCCCACCCCAGTCATGTAGAACACCGCCTGCTTCTGCGAGTGATTTCCAAACAGAAAGGAGCCTCCTGCAAGAGTAAATGGTCCTGAAGCCTTGAGGCTTGCTGGATCCCCTCGCCTGAGACACGAGAGGGCAGCCTTCAGGGGAAGGCAGCGATAGGGCTGCTCTCTGAGACGGAGCTGAGGGTGCAGCGTGGCCTTGCCCCATCTCAGTTGGATTCTAACCCACCGAGAGCTCATCCCTGACGTCCAGACCTCCTGTGCTGTCCATGACACCTGTTGGGCCCACCCTCAATGGGGGCTGGAACTCTTCACCACCCTTATTTGGGCGGAATCCGGCTATGCGGTTCCAATTGTGGGGTAGTGGGTGTGCAAGCACTCAGATGTCGTTCTATAAGTGTCTGAACTAAAAATAAGGAGAAGCCACCCTAAGTGTTTGTCACCTGATGCCTAGTCATTTTCATCTTGGAACTTAAATATTGCAGAATGGCTCCTAACTTTAGATCTCATGGATTCTAATGTTCCCAGCCAGAAAAAGGGGCTTCAAGTGTCTAGACAGGCATCCGTCCTCTCCTAACGCTGTCAGGAAGTGCCTGCCGTATGCTCTGGATAGGGCATCCAAGAGCAACCCAAGACCCCTGGCCCAGATAAAGGAGCTCATGCAGTGACAAGGGAGACAGAAAGAAAAATCAGTGTCATGGGCAATGTCCAGCACCTTCCTGCAAACCTCCGTCTCCACCAGGTAGAGGAAGTCTGAATGGGGACATGTAGGATGGACGCTTGCTGTGTGGCCTGCACGCCTCCCCTGGCCCCTTGGCTGCCAGCAGTCCCTTGGCTTTCCTTTGGGGAACCACTTCCATAGGATTCCCCCAGGGCTGGCTCCAGGACGAATACATGAATACCTGATTAATTAACATATTCCAGCTTCCTGTCGGCAGTGATTGGTTGAGGGGTGGGGCAGATGATCCAATTCAGGCCAGTAAGACTCAACTTAGGGACTTTGAGGGAAATTTGGAGAAACAGGAGTGTCTTCTGGAGTTGGTAACAGTGGGGCTGAGGGAGGCCCACTGGATGGAGAGAACCTGCTGGGACTGAAGCCCGCACAGAAGAGGGTCAAGCCGAGACCAAGTCTTAAAGATAGATTTTGAGTGCCTGAATCCAGCTGTGCCTGAAACACCTCTTCTTGACTTACCAGTCACCTTAGTAAGGAAACACTTTCTTTAGCTTAATCTGATCTGAGCTAAGTCACTGTCATCCGCAATCAGAGGAGTCCTGATGACTTGGGTGGCAGGTCCTTCATAAAGCATCACTGGAAATCAGGTTGGCGAGGAGGGGAGGGAAGCAGAGAATGCTGGCTGGAAACAAGCTGCTCACAATACAGCCTCTGATAAATCCAGCTAGGATCCACAG